GAGGCCCAAGTTTGGTTCCCGCTAAGGGCACGTACCTTGCTTGCAGTTTGACCCCAGCCCCAGTTGGGGTCATGTGGGTGGAAACCACTCTGATGTGTCTCTCTCACATTGATGTTTCTCTTCCCCTCTCTCCCTCCCGCTTTATCTGAAGATAATGTCCTCGGGTGAGGATAAAAAATAAATAAAAATAAACCAAGTGGGACCCGTCTTCTCCACCTCCAGGATGTTGTTGAGTCGTTGATATGAGGAGTCAGCTCGGAGAACATCTCCCTGTGCTCCCTTGCACCCTGCTGTGCTGCTTGCACACACACACACACACACGTACATGTACACACACAGCCACACACGTACACGCATGCACACACATGTACAAGTGCACACACATGTGCATGTATACACGCATACCCCATTCTTACAGCCTCTGCCTAGAACTTAAAAAAATTTTTTTGTTCCAACCCAGCATTTCCCCCCTTTTTTCCAACAAAAAAAATAATTCTCTTAAATATCTATATTTTTTTCCTAATGCTCTCTGTCTCAGAACCTGTTGGCTCAGTGCGCTGCAGCCTCGCCCTCTGCATTCCCCGCTCTGCGCCTCCCCCACAGTGTGTGTGCTCTGCTCCCCTCCCTGCAGTGTGCACGCTCTGCCCCCCCCCCCCCCCGCGGTGTGCTCCTTGAGCACGGCTGGGGTGCAGTTCATCTCCAGGAAGTGTGCCGGCATCTGGAGGGGCGTAGATTTCTAAAAGGAAGCCTCTTGCCAACTGCGCCTGACAAGCCCCCTTGCGGCTCCACTCCTCATGAACTCGGTGATGATGCGTTTCCTCAGTGAGCCATCCTCTGGAGCGCGCCCTGCTGGTGCTCGGCAGGCGTGGCTGGTAGTGTTTCAGGGTCCTCACTGCCCAGCCGTGAAAAGGCTGCAGGGAGCTGACAGCGCTGGGGACTTGACTGGCCCGGGCATTGAGTGCAGTAATGGGCAGCACGGGGCCAAGGCTCTCTGGCCCTGCGCCTGTCCAAAGCCCGTCTGTGTCTCATGTTGTTCATGTAACTCTGTCACTGCCATGTTCAGGGGAGGGGCCCCGCGTGCCTGTGCTGCAGACAGGATGCTGAGCGCGTTGACAGGCTCAGCGGTCACTTCCCGGGAGAGTGGAGCTGGGCGCCTGGTCCACGCTGCTGTGCTTTGACTCCGTCTTTACGGCTGGGTGGCGGGGAGGGAGGTCTTTGTCCTGTTCACTTGTATCAAATCTTGCTCTTTTCACATGGTATTTTAGCAGCTTATGTAATATATCATTAAATTGCACAATTACACTGACAAATGGCAAAAGTAGTTTTGGGGAAAAACACAAACCAACTAGTCATGAAGGTTCAGTCTGCTGTGGGCGTCGGTCAGTCAGTTTTAGGGGCAGGAGGGTCTAGTCTAGCAAACCGGCCGACATGAGGTCAGCTTCTACTCGCCTGGACATGGAGAACCCACAGTCCACACTTGAAAGCACTTTGCAGGACCTTAGTTTTCTTGTGAATTCCCACCCTGGCCTCCAGCTGAGCAAGGTGTGGGTCTTTGGTAAGTGAGTCTCCAGGAAGAGAAGAAGTGACCTTGGATGCTGGGTTATACTCTGATGGTTTGTCTTTTTCTCACAACGTGTCTGGAAGAGGGAACTGGTAGAACTGTATGAAAATAGCATACTTTTCTCACGCACGACATTGCATAACATCGGAAAGCTGATACTTGATCCTCATGGTGAAATGTTCTGGGTGTTTCCACCAGCGTTTCTCTGACTCCAGGGAGTGAGTGACACACTGTGTCCACATGATCCCTGCCTGCAGAGACCCGCGGTCCCTCCGCCCTGCAGAGGTCCCTCCGTCCTGCAGAGGTCCCTCCGCCCTGCAGAGGTCCCTCCGTCTTGCAGAGGCTCTGCGGGCTCCGTGTGAAGACAGCTTAAAATTAGCAGCACATTTCCGAGTGACAGTGCCAGAGTGTATTGTATTCATTTCTATGGCAACATCTTTCTCTTCTTTTTCTTTTTAAGTAGCTTCCCTTTGTTGCAGCTGGATTCTTTTAACTGACTTAATAGGAAGCTAAGAGTTTTGTTCAAATTCATCAGATCATCTCTCTACTTTTCCAGGATTTAATGTCCTCTGCAGGTTCTTTAATAAATAAATAAAAATAGGGGGAAAGTATATCAAGAAGGCTAAATAATGGATATTTTTATGCTGATAAAAAAGAGTAATGTTATCTCTGATGAACCCTTATTGCGATCCCTCTTGACTAAATAACTTGAGTATTGTTTCACAGATTTTTAATATAACTAGTAATTAGCTTTAGGTTTAGCTATGAGTGACAGAAAACCCAAAACAATAGTGGCCTAGACAAACTAGAATTCTGTTTCTCTGTCGTGTCCGTTCCGGAGAGCTTGTGGCAGCTCCTTGGTCACCAGGATGCCTTGTTCCTTCTGTCTTGCTGCCCTGTGACCCTCAGACGGCAGCTTCCTCTTTAGGTGCAAAGGGCTGCCTGGCTCTAGCAGTTGTGTCTGCATTCCAGCTGCAGGGTATGTCCTGGGGGCTGCCTCCCATCCTCACCACCCTTTCTCCTGCAGCTCATTGGCCAGAGCTCGAGTGTGTGGCCCTAGATTGAGGCTGGGAATGTGGTCTGTGTTCTGGGTGGCTTTGTGCCCCACTAAACCTGGAAAGGAGAGCAGATTGGGGCACAGTTAGTGCTGCCTCCCCAGGATGAACACCTAGACTTGTGGTCTTGGACAGCTACCCCCATAGCACCGAGCTGAATGCAGGCAGGCCGCTGCGCAGTGGCTCGAGGGCGTGGTGAGAAGCTGGTGAGTTTCTGTAGGCGCCTCTGTTCTGGAGATGCTGCTGAGAGAATCCGCGACACCCTGAAAAGGAGTGAGGTGAACACGGTGGAGAGAAATGGCTCAAGATGCACGGTTGTGGCGAAGAACATTTAGTTTCAGGAAGTAGAAGTGGATGTTCAGTAGTAAAGCAGGTGTGCGCGTGTGTGTGCACGTGTGTATGCGCATGCACATATGTGCACGTGCGTGCGTGTATGTGCGCACGTGTGTGTGTGCGCGTGTGTGTATGTGCGCGTGCATGCGTGTGTGCACACTACCTCTGACGTGAGATCAGACCGGTCAGGTCTGCAGCCTGCCAGTCTTCAGGCCCCTTGGCAAATGAGCACTCTCCGTTACGGGTGCCCCGTCTGCAAGCCTTTGGGAATCAGAGGTAAGGCAGGTCAAGTGTAATAATTTTTACACAGTTGGCAAGTTATTCTTCTTTTTCATAAATAATAATGTGGTCTTTTTGACTTTCTGCTGCAAAAGTAACTGTGAAATTCAGTGAAGAGAGAAAGTAGGAAAATGTTCAGAAAATGAAGTTTAAAAACAAGGCTTAGGATGGCATCCAGGTTGCAGCAGGAAATCAGTTCAGTCTGAGCCTGACCTTAGCCGATGATTGTGGCATCTCAGCGTGTTTGTTTTTCCAATAACCTTAATTTGGGGCTTGCAAGTTTGTTGGTTTGTTTTTTCATTCAATTTTGGGGACCCTGAAGCAATATTTTAATTATAGGGTTTGTAGGTTTCATGGCACGAAGATCAGCAAGTTTTGTTTTTTCTTGGCTATACTATGTTATCTTACTCTCAGAAATTTATGATCTTTGTGTCTAACAATGCGTTTAAAAAAAAAAGGCTCCCTTTCTGCAGTCCCAGAATTCCCAGGGCAGCTTCACTCGTCCCCTCCCCCGCTTTAAAAAAACATGCTCCCTGGGAAATGTTGCCTCAAATTAGACAAAGCTCACAGTTACTGGAAATGTTCCCCTACAGTTCTGATCATGTCCACTGATTTCAGTTTGTTGCCCACATTCTAGATTTTTCCTCAGTTTTGCTGACATTGTGTTTCAGTCGCACTGATCTTGAGCTGCACTGAACCATAGCTCTCGGCTGTCAGCCTGCCTCCTGCTGAGTCCGCTCCAGAGTGTGGGCGAGTGACGAGGCCGGTGAGCAGAGGGACAAGGACGCAAGAGGGCTGCAGTCCGGTTCCCGCCTCGAAGGGGGGCACTGGTGTACGCGTTCATCTTTTATTTTTTCCTGTGACAATGCCTGTTGGTGCTAGGAAGAAGGAGTTATTGATAACAGCAGTTAATATCCAAGCCACACGTCATCGTCAACCTGGATACCTGCAGAGGAACATCCCTTTTCCGGACCACTCGCCTCCCTTCTAGAAGCCACGCTCCTCTTGGCTGGTTCCTGGTGTTCGTGTCTGTGTGGTTGGCCCCAGAGACCTCCGTGCTCTGCCCACCCAGAGGGCATCACAAGTGGCAGGGTTCCATCTGATTGGGCTCGACATGCGTCTGTCCTTTCAGAACTCTCCACTGAACTGTGTGCTTCTTGAGAGCAAGAACTAGACATCTCCGCTAGTCCGTGTGGGCCCGTTGCTCACGGAAAGCATGTAGTGCTGCGGCCGCTCCTGTGGGGCAGGGCAGGGGCAGGGGGCCGGCGCCGCCAGCCCTGGCCCTACTTCGTCTCAAGTGTGTATCATGACAATTTGGGATCAGAAATTTTTCTGGGGAAAATGTTTCTGTTCTTCAAAAACAAGTTTGGAAATGACTGTATTGGATAGAGAGCTTCATTGTCTTGTGACATTTCTCTAGTCTAGCCTTCATTTCTCAGGACTGGAGACAGACCCAGATCAGGAGCTATTTCATGGCTGAGCCACAATTAAAAAGCTCGGTTGTAACCACGTGACCAGCACCCTCTCTGGTGCCCCGCAGCATCCAAGGCCCCAGAGCCTAGTGTGTTCCGGGTTCTCGTGGTCTCTGTTCATTGCATACTGAATGAAGCCGTCGTGAGAGGGTCGGTAGTTTATCAACCCTGGGCAAAGTTCAAAGAAAAGCAGTCATCTCTTCCGATCCCCCTGGATGTTGGCATCATAGACCCCTGAGTCTGGCCTGTCACAGGGCTCCGCCGATCTTCACCTAACAGGCTGTTCTTTGTTCGTCTCAGGACCACCTGCTGCTGCCAGCGACCACCCACAACAAGACCACGAGGCCGAAGATGTCGATCGTGCTGCCGGCAGTGAACGTCAACGGTAAGGCGGATTCCGTTTCCGACGAGCGCGTTTAACTGAGATGCTCTGGTTAACGAACGACATTTGAAAGGTTCGGTTGGTCAGGTATATATTCATACGTTAATTTTGAAATATTTCTCACCGTTTTAAAAAATACTATTTTAGAATGATCATACTCTTTTTAAAAATTAAAGGATTTAGCTCTGACCGATATGGCTCAGTGGTTAGAGGGTCAGCCTGCAGACTGAAGGGTCGTGGGTCTGAGTCCCGGTCAGGGGCACGTACCTGGGTTGCAGGTTTGATCCCCGGCCCCAGTCAGGGTTGTGTGGGAGGCAAACAATTGATGTGTCTCTCCCACATCAATATTTCTCTCTCTCCTTCCCTCCCCTTCCCTCTCCTCCACTCTATCTAAAATTCAATGGAAGAGTATCGTTGGGTGAGGAATAACCAAAAATAAATAAAACAAAACAGTCCTCAAAAAAAAATTAAAAAATTAAAAGTGACTTTTTAAGTTACTGTATCTGAAAAAGGAACATGTGTTCTCTTTCATTTGTCGAGTGGAAAGGCCCACAGCGGCCCCGCTGCGGCCCCGTGACCCCGCGGCCGGCCTCTGGTTTGCCGGGAAGAAGAGGGTGGTGAGGGCGTGTGCATGGGCTCCAGGGACTCCGGGCAGTTTCTGAGCGACATAGATGGTGTACGACTCCCAGACTGCACCTCAAGAGCCGATTTGTAGTCACTCTGTTCGCAGGCCAGGGGCTGAGGGACCGTCGTCACTATCGTCCTCATCCCCGTCCTCAGGGGACTCCTTCCTGTGGACCCAGGATCCCGGCCCCTCCCAGCTTCAGTCTCTGCCCCCAGACTGCCCTCTGTCCTCAGGAGGGGCTCCCTCTCTGCGGGGATGTCCGGCCTCCCTCACCACCACCTCTGCTGTGGGGACACCGGCCCCGCCTGCCTTCCTCCCCGCGCACCACAGCCGCACCTCAGGGTTGCTTGTCCGCATCCCTGCGCTTGCTTCCCTCCTGCCTGCTCCTCTCTGGCTTTTAACCCTCATCCCCGAAGTGCTCTTCCCAAAGGGTCGCCAACAGCCAGGCTCCTGCCAAAGCCAGAGGCCATGTCTCAGTGGGTTGACATGGTTGACTAGTCCCCCTTCCTTTCCGTGCTCCAAATTTATCTTTGACTTTCAAATTGACAGAACAGTTGAAAGATGATACCACAAGTATCTGGAGACCCTTCACCTGAACTTCACCCTTGTTAACATTCCCCTATTTTCTTCACCTTTATCTGTTCATCTGTCTACACTCATGTATTTTCTGAACCATGTGAGAGTAAGGTGCAGACATTCTGACACCTGACGCCATAAATACGTGAATATGTGTCTCCTAAAAGATGGATGTTTTCCTACAGACGCACAGTGACGTGGCCACACATTAAAATGCTTAGCATTGATTTGCACAGCTTGCAGAGTCAACGTGGTCCATGTTCCAGCTTCCACGTGGGTTCCAAATACTCTGTGGATTGGGGGAGGGACTCTAAATCCAGCCGGACCCTGCAGTGCCTCCACTTGCCCCGCCTCGGCAGTGTCCTGCGCCCAGATGCCCCGCCCTTGTCTTTCGGGACAGATATGTGCTTTAGAAATCAGTATGGAGGTGTGACACACACAGTAAAGCTCAGTCTTATGTGTACAGTCTAGTGAGTCTCGACACGAGCAGTTGTGGAAGCACCACTCGCGCCGTGATGCGGACGTTCCATTACTGCAGAGGTGTGTCGTGCCCTGCAGGGCAGTGCTGGTCCTCTCCGAGACACGTGGTCTGTGGGCCCCAGGGCACCAGGTGGGCTCGTCTGCTCCTCCTGCGTCCTGGCACAGCTTCTCACCAGCCCCGGGCTCCATGGGCTCTGCACACGGGACCAGAGCGGCTGTGGAAGCACAGCAGGGCCAGCCCCTCACCCCGCAGTGCTGGTGAGCTCGGCCGCCAGCGAGGATTCCCTCCGCTTGCAGATGAGACTCCAAAGCTCAGAGTGACTTGTACTGTCTACACAGCCACTGTTCAGCAGAGAGCCAGGGTTTAAACACACTGTGTAAGATGTGTTCTGATCCGATTAGTTATGTTGTTATTTTTGTATTAAGAAAGATGTGCAAATGTTACAGGTTTTTAAGATAGATTTTGTAAAACTGTGTCCCTGTGGTACAGGCTATGCCAGTTCATGGAGAGCAGTGTGATACAGTGTAATAGTCTAATACAGTTAAGTACAGTGTAATACGGTGCAGGGTAATACAGTGCATTACAGTGCACTACGGCGTAATACAGTGTAATGGTGTAATACGGAGCAGTGCAGGACAGTACGGTGCAGTACAGTGCAATCGTGTAATGTGGTGCAGTACAGTATAATAGTGAGATGTGGTGTGGCACGGTGTGGCATGGTGTAATATAGTTCAGAACAGTGCAGTACACGGTCTGAATCTGACGGGCACATATTTGTGGATGGACAGGATGAGTAAGGTAAATGTTATTTGGTCATTGCTTTATGGTCACTTGAAAGATATTACAACTTTAATTCTTTTTATGATTAAAAACAGTTGGCAGCACAGTCCAGTCTAATCTTCTAAAATGTAATTAAATGTGTGCTAGGCCGTCTTTCACCATGTTGTTGAGGTTTGGGATTCACAGTGAAAAGAACTGAAGCTATTCATGTCCTTTTCAACAATTGCTCTTAAAGGAAAATACATGTAAAAAGTTGACCTACAGCCCTGGCTGGTTTGGCTCAGCGGTTAGAGCGTCGGCCTGTGGTCCAGAGAGACCCGGGTTCGGTTCTTGCTAAGGGCATGTACCTCGGTTGCAGTTTGTCCCTGGCCCTGGTTGGTCGTGTGGGTGGCAACCACTCGATGTGTCCCTTTCACGTCGATGTTTCTCTCTCTCTCTTCCTCTCTCTCCCTCCCAGCCTATCTGAACAAGAAATGGAAAAATGTCCTCGGGTGAGGATAACAAAAAAAGAAGAAGAAAAAGAAATAGCTACAGCGAGTGGGATGTGGCTGAGAGACTAACGCCGCCCACCCTGTTCTCCAGTCATGTTCTGACTCATGTTCTTCATCCCGCATCTCGTTATTCTCTCCTTTCTTCTGTGTCGTAAGCGGCTGAGAACAGGCTAGTGAGCTGCCAGGATTTTATTGTCTGAGGAGCCTTCACACCAAAGATTTATTGAAGTAGAATAAAGTGCTGGTTACACTTTAACAAGGCTTTTTAAAAAAAGATTGGACCGGCTGGCGTAGCAGTGATGATGAAGTAAACGTGCTATTTTTAAAAAAGGACCTGGAAGTTTCTGCACTAACGTCAGCATTTCCTACTTTTAAATTATTTCCTCTTATGTTGTTGTGAAACTGCTCATTTCCTTTCAGTTTTGATAGATAATTCAGCAAAATAGAACATAGAAGAGATTTTTAGATGGTAACTACTTTGTAGAGATCTTCCCTTGGGGAGGGGCAGGCCGAGGCAGATGCGTCCCGTGGCGGGACCAGCTTGGTTCTGGCTCTGTGGCTCTCCGCCACGGGCCTTGCACGCAGTCCCTGTCACCTGAGGAGCAATGTGGAGACTAGCCGACTCTGCCCATGGGCACTCAGGGCCCAGGTCAGTGAACAGTGACTTCAAGGCCACAGTGAGATGCTTGACCTCCAGGCATTTCCCTTGAAGATCATGGAGAAGAACTTACTAGCAATGCAACAGGTGTTCAGGTGGAGAGGCTATAGCAAGGGCGGGAAGCAGACTGACCGAGTGATGACCAGAGAATGGGCAGCCTCCGTGATCCCTCCCACAGGAGTGTCGTCCTGGAGAAAGTGGTGGGAATGGCCCTGTTGGGGGCGGTTCTGTTTGGGGGCGGTTCTCGCAGGTTCTGAGCTGGCCACGGGTTGTCCGTCCTGGTGGTTTGCAGTGTGTCCTCACGTAGTGTCCGTCTCAGCGCTGTGTGATTGCGTCCAGGCAGGCGAGTGAGTGGAGCCTCCTCTCAGACCCTCAGCTCAGCTTCCATGCAGAATCGTCGGTGGTCAGGTGTCGGCCACTGCACAGCAGCAGTGAGGCACCCAGGCTGAACCCCCACTGAGGAAAGGGCAGGAGTCACACTAGGCGTCAGAGAAAAGACATTTTCTCTCAGGCAGACACACGGCAAATGCACTGTGTCAACACCGACTGACCAGGACACGCGGGACTTCAGATGGGTCTGGTGTCCTCTGAGCTCCTGGGCTGCGTTGGCAGCGTCCTGGGAGAAGAGGCACTGAGGAAGGCAGAGTGTGGCTCTGGTCGTCTTCAGAATTTGGGTCAAGTTTGCCTTTGTTCTTAGACCTTTCAGCTCACAGTCCCATCGATGCTGAGTCACCAGCTGGGCCGGGACCCGCAGTGACGGGTTAGTTCTAACCCAGAAACAACATGCTGATTGACTTTAAGAGAGGTCAGTGAGGTGATGGGCAGTTGTAAGTCCTGGTGCTCGTGGTGCAGGGTCAGAACTGATGGTGAGTGGGCGGTGAGCAGCCCCGTTTGCCCTGCACTGAGAACGAGTGGGGGCCTGGGCGGAGACCCTGGAGAGGACCCTTGCTGGAGAGACAGACTGGAGAGGACCCTTGCTGGAGAGACAGACCAGGCGCGCAGGATGCAGCTGGGCGGCTTAGGTCCGTAGCCGGCTAAGGAGGTGACTCCAGCCTGTAAACAAAAGGGCTCCGTGGAAGCCTTGTTAGGAGACTGGTGATCTGGCCGAGGTCTGCAGATGGGAGCTGCAGAGGGGAGCTGGCGACGTGGCCACAGCCGAAGTCCGCACAGGCCTGGGGTGGGGAGGGAGCAGTCCAAGGGCGTTTCAAGGGGAAGTCTGAGGTGCTGGCCGCTGGGCCGGAATGGGACTCTGAGACCACCGCCATCCGCTCACCCCGCGTTCTCTGGCTTTCTCTTCCTCCGGTCCCTTAAGGCCGTCCAGTGTCCTTGACCCCTCCCGCACGTGCAGCTACCCCCACTTCCTGCAGTTCCCCCGCACCCTGTACCAGGAGC